ACTCGCAGGGTTCTTGGAGTTTCTGAACGATGCCGAGGTTAGGGTTTTAGATCTTCATCGTTATAGTGATACATGGATGATTATTTAGTTCGATATTAGGTTTTTAATTACTTGTTTATTTTGATTTTTTCGCAGGTATTACTGTGATTATTGCGACACTTATCTCACTCACGATTCCGTAAGTCTCTAAATCTACCTTCTTCTCCTTTCCAAATTACTGTTTGTTTCTTTTCTTGCGTCGTAATTGAGCTTTAAGTTCGGTTTTTATTGAAATCGATCTCTGGCGGCGATGTCAGCTAGGTTTCCGATTTGGATTTCAATTTAAAATCACTTTTGCTATTTACCTATACATATATATATGTCACAATGGTGCGTTTATTGCCTTTTGACTGGCTTAGCTCGATTAATTGGTGAGATGATGGCATTACTTGGAATCATATGATTATATGTTGGGATTTTAGATGAAGTTGGTGTTAGTTTAAGCTCAAGTTATTGCACTTTGATCTTGAATGGTTGCATTTTTTTTATCCACTGTTATGATGCATTCGGTTTGATTAAGAATCTATTGTGTTTCACGGGCTATATCTTCTTCTCTTATCAGTCAATTTTTACATGTTTACTCCTTTTTTCAGCCATCAGTGAGGAAGCAGCACAATGCCGGTTACAAACACAAGGTACATAAAAAGTAGAGAGTAATGTGTCGTGGCGTGATGTGGGATCTTTTGTAATGTGTTGTTTTGGTGATTTCAGGCGAATGTGAGAATATACTATCAGCAATTCGAGGAACAACAAACCCAAAGTTTGATTGATCAGAGAATCAAGGAACATCTTGGCCAAGCAGCAGCGTATCAACAGGTTGGTGCTGTGTTTAATCAACATATGCTCGCTAGACCTCGCCTTCCTATGATGCCACCACCTGGAAGTATGCCTATGGGTATGCGACCTCCTGTTCTGCCTAGACCGATGATGCCTGGTCAAGGTAATTTCTTTTACTAGAATAATAACAACCCGTTTTGCTGCCCGGATATACAGTAGAAAGGTTTGGGAAATAACTTTTATAGTAATCTTTAGAGAAGGCTAAAGATGAAAAAGAGTATGATAATGAGCTTCATCCGTATAGGAAATTTGAGAAACGTTGTCATGTACGGAATTTTTTATAGGATTGTAGACGGTTTTGTACACATGATCAATTGAGTTTTGATTGTTACTTGTTGTGTATCATGGCTCTTTAGACTTACGATATAGATTGTGTTCATTTTTTTAACCATGTTGGTCAAACATCAATTAGTATGTTTCATACATAGATATTCCATATTACAGTGTAATAATATTGTAACTTTGCAGGTTACATGCCTCCCCCAGGAGTACAGCAGATGATGGCACCGCCTGGTGCTCCTCTACCTCCACCTCCACAAAACGGTATTCTCAGGCCACCAGGAATGGCTCCGATACCAGGTCAAGGTGGTGGACCACCAGGAATGGCTCCGATACCAGGTCAAGGAGGTGGACCACCTCCCAATTATAATGGACT